GGTCAAGAGTTTGAGACAAGCCTGGCCAACATGGTGAAACCCTGTCTCTACCAAAAATACAAAAATTAGCTGGGCATGGTGGCATGCACCTGTAGTCCCAGCTATTCTGGAGGCTGAGGCAGGAGAATCACTGGAACCTGCCGTGTGGTGGAGGTTGCAGTGAGCCAAGATTACCACTGCACTCCAGCCTGAGTGACAGAGCAAGACTCTGTCTCAAAAACACACAGAAAAAAACCCCCCAAAAATTTGGTTTTCATACCCTGTTTCTTCCACGTTAGCTCCCAAACCCCTTGGAAGCTCTGGAATGAAAAGAGTTTTTGTATGCTAATGAGTTGACTGGTGTCTGGGAGCCCCTAGATAGCTTCTTTCTGGGCTGGTTGCCAGAAGGACCAAGGCATATGACAGGAAAAAACATTTTTTATTTCTTTATACTCCTTTATATTCACACCACTCTCAATACTTTTGATACCAAACCATATAGTAGGAGAAAAGAAACTGTTTTCTCCTACTGTACTCTCAATACAGACCACTTCTGTGATCAGATGTGTGGGTTTTTTTTCCAATACAGAGCAATTCTATTTTCAGCAGACATCAGTTGGGTGCCCTAAAATTTACCTCAGTTCTGACAGTAACCAGCGTTAGCATAGACCACACAAGTGAGCGGCTCACTTCCACAAGACGGCCTCCCTCAGATGCCAATTCAGGTAGTAGGTCTCTGGATTAACCACAACACCTGTCAGTCTTGGCTACAAATTGGAGGTTCCTACACCTCGCTCCCTGGGTTTGATAATTTGCCAGAGTGCTCACAGAACCCATGAAAAGTTTACTTACTTTATTATAAAGGATATTTTGAAAGATACAGATGAACAGCCAGATGGAAGAGATACATAGGGCAACCTAGGGGGAAGGAGCTTGAAGCTTCCATGTCTTCTCCAGCACACCCCCCCTCCCAGCACTTCAGTGTGTGCAGCATCCTGGATACTTTCCAAACCCCATTTTTGGGGGGTTTTATGGAGGCCTACATATGCATGATTGATTAAATCACTGGCCATTGGTTATCAACAACTTTGAGCCCCTCTCCCCTCCCTGGAAGTTAATGGTAAGTGAAGTGCCTTCCTGAGTTCTGTGAGTCATATTAGCAGATAATCAAACATGAGGCCCTCCTCAGGGGATCTTGGAATCCCACAGTTTATAGTCCATTGGTCAGAAGTACAGGTGGAAACCTGGGACTTGCGGCTGGCACCTGCAGTGGGGCAGTGGCCTAAACTGTAGTGCTATGCTAATTGTGGGTAGTTAGTGTCAGAATCAAATTGAATTGTAGGATACCCAGTTGGTGTCAGAACTGGTTGTTGGCGTGGGAAGAGCCCAGAAATTTGGTGTCAGTAGTGTTGTGAGTAAAAACAATTCAGACCACTTTTTTTTTTTTTGATGGGGGACAGAGTCTCGCTATGTCGCCCAGGCTGGAGTGCAGCAGCGTGATCTCAGCTCACTGCAAACTCCACCTCCCATGTTCAAGCGATTCTCTTGCTTCAGTCTCCTGAGTAGCTGGGATTACAGAAGTGCATCACCACACCCAGCTAATTTTTGTATTTTTAGGAGAGACTTGGTTTCACCAAGTTGGTCAGGCTGGTCTCGAACGCCTGACCTCATGATCTACCCACCTCGGCCTCCCAAACTTGTAGGATTACAGGTGTGAGCCACCGTGCCCAACCTCAGACCACTTTTTAACTGTTATGAACAATGCTTGTGTAAACATTCATATACAAGATTTTGTGTGGGCATGTTTTTATTTCTGGGTATATATTTAGGAGTAGAATTCCTGGGTCATATTGGTAACTCTGTTTAATTTTGTAATAAATTTCTAAGCTGTTTTCCAAGGCAGCTGCAACATTTTTCATTTCCACCAGCAATATATGAGGTTTCCAATGTTTTCTCCCATCAACAATTGTTGTCCATGGTTCTTTTTTTTTTTTTTTTTTTAGAGTCTCACTCTGTCACCCAGGCTGGAGTGCAATGGTGCCATCTTGGCTATTGCAACCTCCACCTCCCAGGGTCAAGCAATTCTCCTGCCTTAGCCTCCCTAGTGTCTGAGATTATAGGCATCTGCCAACACACCTGCCTAATTTTTTTGTATTTTTTTTTTTTTTTTGAGACAGAGTTTTGCTCTTGTTGCCCAGGCCAGAGGCTCAATCTAGGCTCACTGCAGCCTCTGCCTCCTGGATTCAAGCAATTCTTCTGCCTCAGCCTCCCAAGTAGCTGGGATTACAGGCATGCACTACCATGCCCAGCTAATTTTGTATTTTTAGTAGAGATGGGGTTTCTGCATGTTGGTCAGACTGGTCTCGAACTCCCAACCTCAGGTGATCCACCTGCCTCGGCCTCCCAAAGTGGTGGGATTACAGGCTTGAGCCACTATGCTTGGCCATTTTTTGCATTTTTACTTGAGCCACCATGTTGGCCAGGCTGGTCTCGAACTCCTGACCTTAGGTGATCTGCCTGCCTCGGCCTCCCAAGGATTACAGGTGTGAGCCACTGTGCCCAGCCCCTTTGCCTTTTATTTATTTATTTATTTGTGTTTTTGAGATGGGGTCTGGCTCTATTGCCCAGGCTGGAGTGCAGTGGCACCAACCTGGCTCACTGCAGCCCTCGCCTCCTGGATTCAAGCAATTCTCCTGCCTCAGCCTCCCAAGTAGCTGGGACTACAGACACCTGCAACCAAGCCCAGCTAATTTTTGTATTTTTAGTAGAGACAGCATTCACCGTGTTGGCCAGGCTGGTCTCGAACTCCTGACCTCAGGTGATCCACTTCCTTGGCCTCCCAAAGTGTTGGGATTACAGGCATGAGCCACCGCACCCGGCCTACCTTTGACTACTTCTCGGCCTTTTGGCTAAGATCAAGTGTAGTATCTGTTCTTATCAGTTTATTTTACATGTATTTATTTTTTTATTTTTTGAGAGGGAGTTTCCCTCTTGTCACCCAGGCTGGAGTGCAATGGCGTGATCTCGGCTCACTGCAACCTCCGCCTCATGAGTTCAAGCAATTCTCCTGCCTCAGCCTCCCAAGTAGCTGGGGTTACAGGCATGCACCACCACACCCGGGTAATTTTTGTATCTTTTGTGGAGACGGAGTTTCACCATGTTCCTCAGACTGGTCTCAAACTGCTGGGCTCAAGCAATATTCCTGCCTCAGCCTCTCAAAGTTCTGGCATTACAGGTGTTAGCCACTGTGCCCTTTTCACTTCCTGTATGATGATTTTTGACGCACAAAAGTTTTTAATTTTGATGAAGTTTAATAGATATACATTGGTGTCATATCTAAGAAACTTTACTAATCTAAAGCCTAAACTTTTTACACCTATGTTTTCTTCTAAGAGAAACAATCTTAGCTCTTATATTTATGACCTTGATCTATTTTGAGGTAATTTTTCTACATGGTGTGAAGGACTGTCTTTATTCTTTTGTATGTTGATGTCCAGTGGTCCCAGCATCCTTTGTTGAAAAGCCTATTCTTTTTTTTCTTTCTTTCTTTTTTTTTTTTTTTTTTGAGACGGAGTCTCACTCTGTTGCACGATCTCGGCTCACTGCAAGCTCCGCCTCCCATATTCATGCCATTATCCGGCCTCAGCCTCCTGAGTAGCTGGGACCACAGGCATCTGCCACCACGCCTGGCTAATTTTTTTGTATTTTTAGTAGAGATGGGGTTTCACTGTGTTAACCAGGATGGTCTCCATCTCCTGACCTCATAATCCGCCTGCCTTGGCCTCCCAAAGTGCTGGGATTGCAGGTATGAGCCACCGCTCCTGGCCAAAAAGCAAGCCCATTGAGTTATCCTGGCACTCTTGTCAATATCAATTGACCATGAATGTAAGAGTTTATTTCTGAACTCTGAATTCTAGTTCATTGATCTGTGTGTCTATCCTTATGCTGGTGCCATACAGTTTTGATTACTATAGTAATCAAAGTCTTTCAACTTTGTTTTTCTTTTCCAAGATCATTTTGGCTATTCTAGGTGTTGCATTTCCATATGAATCTTAGGATAAGCTTGTCTTTTTTGTTTGTTTTATGAGATGGAGTTTTGCTCTTGTTGCCCAGGCTAGAGTGCAATGGCGTGATCTCGGCTCACTGCAACCTCTGTTTCCCAGGTTAAGTGATTCTTCTGCCTCAGCCTCCCAAGTAACTGGGATTACAGGCATGTGCCACCATGCCTGGCTAATTTTGTGTTAGTATTTAGTAGAGACGGGGTTTCTCCATGTTGGTCAATCTGGTCTCAAACTCCTGACCTCAGGTGATCCACCTGCCTCGGCCTCCAAAGTGCTGGGATTATAGGCGTGAGCCACCATACCCGCCCTTGTTTGTTTTTTGAGACAGAGCCTCACTCTATCACCTTGGCTGGAGTGCAGTGACATAACCTCGGCTCACTGCAGCTTCCGCCTCTCGGGTTCAAGTGATTCTCCTCCCTCAGCCTCCTGAGTAGCTGGAATTACAGACATCCACCACCATGCCTGGCTAACTTTTGTATTTTTAGTGGAGATGGGGTTTCGCCACGTTGGCCAGGCTGGTCTCGAACTCCTGGCCTCAAGTGATCCTCCCACCTCAGCCCTACCCTGTTTTTAAAAAGCAGCTCTCTCAGCTTCGTACTCATGTCTGAACAGCATATTGTGATGCTTTAGTTGGTTTCGAGCTTCCTAAGCTCTGAGGTTTTCCATTCACCATCCCTGACTGATTAGAACCCCCTGCTGTGTGCTTACTTAGTACCCAGTGTGTCTTCTATTTTAGTACTAAAGGGACTGTATGTAAATGTTTGTTTCAGTGTTTCTCTTCTATTGCTTCTTGAGAACATGGATCACAGATTGTATTCCACTGCCTTACACAGTGTCTAGCATATGATAAGACACTAAAGAAATACTTGTGGAATGAGTAAATGAATGTTTTGTTCTCTGCTTTTCTGGAAACTAACTTGTTGGTTTTTGTTTCCTTTATATTTTTCCCTGGGCTCCAAGGAGGAGGCATCTCCCTATTCCCTACTTGATATCTGCTTGAATTTCTTGACTACTCACCTTGAGAAGTTCTGTTCAGCCAGACAAGATGGAACATTGTGTCTGCAGGAACCTGGAGTATTCCCACAGGAGGTGGCTGATCGACTGCTTCGGACCATGGCTTTTCATGGTAAAAAAATAAACAGAGGAAACAAAAATTATGTGCTGTTAATTGGATTGGATTTTGAAGTGCTACAGTAGCCATTTAATTATTTTCTTAGAAATAACCGAGAAGGCCACGTGAGCCTGATTCCAGGACTATGAATTCATTTATTTTTACCTATCTTGCCTCTTACTGTGTAATTTAGAATAAACTTTTTTTTTTTTTTTTTTCTTGACAGGGTCTCACTCTGTTACCCAGGCTGGAGTGCAGTCGTGCAAACATGACTCACTGCAGCCTCAACCTCCTGGGCCCAAGTGATCCTCCCAGCTCAGCCTCCCGTGTAGCTGGGAGCACAGGCTTGTGCCACCACGCCTGGCTAATTTCAACGTTTTTCATTTCTAATGTGGCAAACCTTTTTTTTTTGACTTTGGAACGTCTTTTTTTTTTTTTTAATTGTTTAAGAAACGGTCTTGTTCTGTTGCCCATGCTGGAGTGCAGTGGCACAGAGCTCCTGGGTTTATGTGATCTGATTCAGCCTCCTGAGTAGCTGGGACTACAGCTTGGCTGATCTTTTTATTTTTATTTTTGTAGGGATAAGGTCTCACTCTGTTGCCAAGGCTGGCCTCAAACTCCCTGCCTCCAGCAATCTTCCAACCTTGGCCTCCCAAAGTACTGGGATTATAGGCATGAGCCACCATGCACAGCTGAGAAGTCATGTCGGAAATAACTCGTATAACTTGTATCCATTTAGAGGTTTGCCAGTATAAAATATCTTACCTCGGGCCGGGCGTGATGGCTCATGCCTGTAATCCTAGCACTTTGGGAGGCCGAGGCAGGTGGATCACCTGAGGTCAGGAGTTCGAGACCAGCCTGGCCAAGATGGTGAAACCCCGTCTCTACTAAAATACAAAAATTAGCTGGATGTGGCAATACATGCCTATAATCCCAGCTACTCGGGAGGCTGAGACAGGAGAATCACTTGAACCCAGGAGGCAGAGGTTGCAGTGAGCCGAGATCGTACCACCGCATTCCAGTTGGGGTGACAGAACGAGACTGTCTCAAAACAAACAAACAAACAAACACAAAAAAACCCTTGTATCTTCTTTTGACAGTGGGAGAATTATTACTGTTATGGAAAAACTAATTTCTGATTTTGACCTTTGAGATGGGAAATCACAGCCAATTTAGTACTTTGATTTTCAGAAACCAATTCTGAAAATCAATTGAGAAGTTCTTATCTGTGTAGTTTTGCTTATGTATGGAATATTTTTGTTACTTCAAGTTTTAATTTGAAAGAGATATACCTTGGCTGGGCACGGTGGCTCACACCTGTAATCCCAGCACTTTGGGAGGCCGAGGTGGGCGGATCACGAGGTCAGGAGTTCGAGACCAGCCTGACCAACATGGTGAAACCCCGTCTCTACTGAAAATACAAAAACTAGCCGGGTGTGGTGGTGCACACCTATAGTCCCATCTACTTGGGAGGGTGAGGCAGGAGAATCGCTTGAACCCAGGAGGTGGAGGTTGCAGTGAGCAGAGATTGTGCCACCGCACTCCAGCCTGGGCGACAGAGCGAGACTCTGTCTCAAACAAACAAAAAAACCAAAAAACAAAACAAACAAAAAAAAGCTAAGATACACCTTTATATCTTTACAGTTGGTAAATGCATAAGTATGGAATATGATTTGTCCACAGCTATAGAATAGAATGAAAATTTGGCAATAATAATAGCTGTCATTTATTGAATGCCTATGTGCCAGGCATTTTACATACATTTTCATGGAATTTTCGCAAAAACTCTATAAGGTAGCTATTATCATCCCCATTTACATACAGATAAACTGAGGTTGAGTAGTAACTTGCTTAGGGTCAAACTGCAAGTAAATAGTGGAGTCCTAATTCATGTGCAAGTCTGTCCAACTTTAAATATATGCTCATCCCACTGTGCCACACAGCCTTCCTACACCTGTATTGGAGGTATCCCTGCTCCTGGATGCCAGATAGTGGTTTATACTTTTGCTGTGACTTTATATGTATAAAACTATTAAGTATAAGTGCCAATAATGTGTTCCAAGGAAGAGTAGGATGAAATGAGGCTGTAACTGAGGCATTTTGGGATAATTTAGGAAAGAAGAAGACCTCTACATTCCTTGTTTTTCACGAAGTTCCTCATGCCTGCAGTCTTTCTGAATTTTTCCAACCTGTCATAATAACTAGGGTAAATTTTTGTATTATATATGTTAAAGTTAAAAGTCCCTTACACAGCTGTACAACCGTTTAAGAGATTGTGTCAGTGCTAGCATTTCTTTCTAATCTCAATTTAATGATTATGCTTAGTATATTATTATTATTTATTTATTTTTTTGAGATGGAGTCTCGCTGTGTCGCCCAGGCTGGAGTGCAGTGGTGCAATCTCAGCTCACTGCAGCCTCCACCCCCTGAGTTCAAGCGATTCTCCTGCCTCAACCTTCTGAGTAGCTGGTACTACAGGCACCTACCACCACACCCAGCTAATTTTTGTATTTTTAGTAGAGACAGGGTTTCACCATGTTGGCCAGGTTGATCTTAAACTCCTGACCTCCAGTGATCCACCTGCCTTGGACTTCCAAAGTGCTGGGATTATAGGCATGAGCCACCGCACCCGGCCAGTGCTCAGTATGTTAGATTTAAAAAAGAAAACTCATCTTGTAAATCAAAAGAACAAATGCTAAGGCCTTAACTTTGCCAGATTCAGTTATCCTTTGGAAATGTAACTACTGATAGCTATTAGTAGTAGCTAACATTTATTGAATGCTTATTATTATATGTCAGGCACTATAGCAAATGCTTTATATGAATAAGATAATAGGAGTGGGTTTTAAGCAAGTCTAACTAAATATTTGTCCTCAGAGTAATGTCTTGGAGAGGCTACACACTTGAAATGTATTTTCTATCTCTTCTTTTCAAACTGCCTTCAGATAAGGAAACTGAGGGTCAGAAAAATAACTTGTTGCCCCTAATTGTGTTACCCCAGTGTGATTACCTGTTTTATTTATCAAGAAGGGTTCTGAATTATTTAATCTCTTTATACAAATCATATCCATCTTTAGTCAAGATTTGATACTACTGAGAATATACAAAAGAACATGTTGCCAGTTCTTGTCTCAATTTATAAAAGTTGCTTTATACATTTTTCTTTGTGTTTGAAAATATTCATACTGAGAAAAAAGTTGTTCAATTGATACTTTTATTTTTTATTTATTACTGTTATTATTTTTTTCTTGAGACAGAGTCTCGCTCTGTCACCCAGGCTGGAGTGCAGTGGCACAATCTCGGCTCACTGCAACCTCTGCTTCCCAGGTTCAAGCAGTTCTTGTGCCTCAGCCTCCGGAGTAGCTGGGGTTACAGGCATATGCCACTACACCTGGCTAATTTTTGTATTTTTTTTTAGTAGAGATGGGATTTCACCATGTTTGCTAGGCTGGTCCTGAACTCCTGACCTCAAGTGATCTACCACCTAGTCCTTCCAAAGTGCTGGGATTACAGGAGTGAGCCACTGCTCCCAGCCTTGTGGATACTTTTAAAATTGGTAATATTAACCGAGGGCAGTGGCTCACACCTGTAATCCGAGTACTTTGGGAGGCCAAGGCAAGCAGATCACCTGAGGTCAGGAGTTTGAGACCAGCCTGGCCAACATGGCAAAACCCTGTCTCTACTAAAAATGCAAAAATTAGCCCGGTGTGGTGGCGGGTGCCTGTAATCCCAGCTACTCGGGAGGCTGAGGCAGGGAGAATTGCTTGAACACGGAGGTGGAGGTTGCAGTGAGCCAAGATTGTGCCATTGCACTCCAGCCTGGGCGACAGGGTGAGACAGTGTCTCAAAAACAAAAAAACAAAACAACAAAAACAAAAACTGGTAATATCGTACTGTTTCTAATAGCATATTGATTCTAGAAAATGTTTAACATATACATTTAAAATTTTTTACTTATTTACTCAATTCAAAGGATTAATGATATTAGTAGCAGTCTTTTTTGCATGTGTTAAATAATTTTTCTATTTCTTCTTTTATTTTTTGTAGAGACAGGGTCTTGCCATGTTCCCCAGGCTGGTCTTGAACTACTGGTCTCAAGTTAGCCTCCTGTCTCAGGCTTCGAAAGTACTGAGATTACAGGCATGAGCCAACGTGCCCGGCCTACTTTTTTTTTTTGAGATGGAATCTCACTCTGTCGCTCAGGCTGGAATGCAGTGGTACAGTCTCGACTCACTGCAATCTCTGCTTCCTGGGTTCAGTTGATCCTCCTGGCTCAGCCTCCCAAGTAGCTGGGACTATAGGTGCCTGACACCACGCCCAGCTCATTTGTGTATTTTTAGTAGAGACAGGGTTTCACCATGTTGGCCAGGCTAGTCTTGAACTCCTGACGTCAAATGATCCACCTGCCTTGGTCTCCCAGAGTGCTGGGATTACAGGCGTGAACCACTGTGCCTGGCCTTGGCCTATTTTTAAATTGACATAAAATAATTGTACATATTTATGGGATATGTAATGATGCTTCAATACATATAATGTATAGTGATAAGATTGGAGTAATTAGCATACTCATCATCTCAAACATTTGTATTGGAAATATTCACTATCATTCCTTCTAGCTATTTGAAACTAAGAATTATTATTAACTGTAGTCATCCTACAGTGTGTAGAACACTAGAACTGACTCCTCCTGTCTAGCTGTAATTATGTATCCTTTAATCAATCTCTGCCTGTCCTCGTCTTCCCTCTACAAGTCGCCAGCCTCTACTAACCTGTTCTACTTTCACTTCTGTGAGATCACTGTTTTTAGCTTTCACATATGAGTGAGAACATGCCATATTTAACTTTATGCTCCTGGCTTATTTCACTTAACATAATGTCCTCCAGTTCCATCCATGTTACTGTGAATGACAGGATTTCATTCTTTTTGATGGCTGTATGGTATTCCATTATGTATATACACCACATGTTCTTCATTCATTCATCTGTTATTGGACACATAGATTGATTCTGCATCT